AATCTTGGTCAACATTCAGATATGGATGATAATGAATGTACATCGAATGATTATATACTTTGTCCACATTCTCAATTACAATTATGTCTTAAACATTTGAACTATCATCAAGATTTACTTCGTCAAGATTTATATTATTTATCCGACAAATATAAATCGTGTTCGTTGTCATCTCGATAATTTAATATTTGATTCAATAAATCATCGTCAAGAATGATTTCAAAAATTAGATGGTCGGTATAATGAACAAATTAATTCAATAAATAAAATTTATCATGAAAACAAAAACAACAATTACAAATATTATGTTTCCAAGCATTTATAGAATTTGATACATATAAAACAGAACAAGATAAACCATTAAAAAATAATTTGATAAAACATTTTAAAAAAGTACTTAAACAAAAACAAATAAATATTGATGATTTAAATGAAATGAAAAATAAATTATATGATATTGAAAGAGGTGTAGAAGAACTTGATTAATGACTTCGTTGATATTTATCCTGATAATACAATGATGGATATTCATGTTATTAAAAGTCGTTATTTGTTGAAGCAGCAAAGTCAACATTTAACGACGATGATGATGATAATCCATGAAATGCAAATAATGAAGATGAGATCGATGATAAAACAAGCCAGGTTCAAGAAAATGGGCAGACGGATTACGAAGAAATACGGCTAAAATTAATGCCTCATTACGCCGTTTTACAGCCGTTTCAGGCTGTTTCCGATGCCGTTTCAGACGATCGGAATGGTCGTCCTGGGCATATCATCCGATGATATTGGCAATTTTGAAAACGAAACTAATTCTACACAAGATCTTCTACCTTCATCTGATATTATTTCATTATCGCCGTCAATATCTTCACCACCTGCTACTTCTTTATTGTTCATCGTCATCAGCATCAAATGCAGTCACCAAAAAAAGCACCACTAAAATTTATTATCAAAAGATTACAACAACCACCAACTTCGACTAAAATCACACATATGAATTAAAAACAGCCAATATATCGTCAGCGTTAAGAACATGAAAACAATATAATAATGTTTTGTATATTGTGTGTATATTTTTTTTTGAATGTTATTACTTTCCAGTAGAACGAAATAAGAAAAAAAAAAACTGATTTCCAAAAAAAAGAAAATACGATTTCATCGGTTGCTGAGAGGCAAGAGTTGAGACCAGCAGATTGATTAATATCGGTGGGATATAGATTGATTTGTTTCTATTTGATTTACATCTTAGCAATAACCAAGCACACCAAAGTGGTAAAGTTTATAATGAACACAATTATCATAATGTAGATTTCGTCTCACTAACTAAATTTCTATTGAATAATTTGAAACAGTTCGTAATAATTAATGAAAAATTCAAATAAATGCAGTTGAAAAACAGTTGTCATGACTACTTTCGCCTTTAGCCAAGCCATTCACAAAACTATGGATTAGTTACCTCAATCATCCACGTATGGATATAACAAATATCAGAATTTGTTTTCAATCTAAAAATTGATTCTAATGTAGTGTTTCCTTGTTTTTATAGTTGAAATTTTTTTTTTTTTTTTTTTTTTTTTGTTTACTACATGAATAGATATAATGAAAAATAGTAAATATCTGTATGCAAAATGAATATGAAAACAAGTTATAACAGAAACAACAAACAAAAACACATTATGAAAACAAAAGAAAAGAATAACTTCTACGATGATAGTAGTAAAGGTTTGATTAAACGAAACGCAAAAACAAAAACAAAACAAAAACAAAAAAAACAAAAAAAAAAACAACTTATATGTCTACTTAGTTATGTATGTTCTATTTTGTTTTCAATACAAGTTCTCTATGTTTTATTTAAGATGTTGATGTCGAGAACGTTCAGTGAGTTCATCAAATATATCATATGTACTATCATTATTTATATGTTCTTGATTAGTACTCATGGATGGATTATTTGATGTTGGATTCACGATATTGTCTTGGTCATAGTTTGGTTTATAAAAATATTCATTATGACCTATACCAAAGAGAAATATGTAATCTATTTATCTGCATGACTGATTACAAATAAATACCCATTCGATAAATTATAGCTCGTTGTTGCCAAAATGAATTTTCACATTGATCTTCGTATGAAATCGGTTGACGTCCTAATGCTCCTTCCGATCGACCTGGATTTAACAGAACAATAGCAGGTTGTGTAACATCAATTTCTCTGGTTTTTTCATATTTATCTGTCGTCTAAAAAACAAAATTCAGAAAGAAGTAATAGTATTTTGAACAAAAAAAAAAAAGAGAATGAAATTGATACTGACAATGGTGATGCCATTTTGTGTTAATAAATCTTTTTTAAGAGGAAAACCTAATTCTTCATATCGATCCCAATCAATATCATCGAAAATTAAATAATCAGCAAAATCATTCCAAGTATTTAACCGCCAACGTCCTTTGAAATAATTGTATTGACCAGGTAATGATTTAGCAAATGTTGTTTTTCCAGTACCAGTTGGTCCAATGAGAATTAAACATTTAGCTCGTGATGTACGATGAAATTCTTCTCTGATCCAACGATCAACGACTTCACCTAGATTTTTCGAGGCATTACAAAAAAAAAAAAAAAAAAATAAGAATATCGAAAAACACCGATTAAATAAATGAATAAGTTTTTTTTTTATCGGTTTATTTTGAATATGAACTATACGTACGTAATGTTGGTGTACAATGAGGAAATGATTCTGGCCATGTATAGATTGTTTTGAGATTTTGTTTAATTTTCGCTTTTTCATATTGTTCTAATAAATCAATAAGCTTGAATGTATTTTGATACCTAAAATTTTTTTTTTTTTTGTACAGGAAAATGAAATCAATAATTAAAGTGTGAATTCATACCAGGTAGAATATCGAAGAAATTCAGTTGGAATAGAATTATCTCGCATGAATGCTAAAGCTTCATTGATATTAGATTTAGCTAAATGAAATGCATGTCTTGCAATGATTTCTTTTTGTTTTTGTTTCTCTTGTGCTGCTGCTGCACGTCCGTCTCTTGCAATAGTCGTGGTAGTTGTTGTAGTAATAGGAGCAGGAGCAGGAGGAGGATTAATAGTAGTTATTGTAGAATGTAATGCTACTATATTGCATGGTACAGATGATGGTGGTGATTGAGAAGGCCAATATTGAACAGCTCGCTTCGACGTTGATTTAAATCTACCAATTTCGATAAAATCTGAACCTAGATGATAGTATAATAGAAAAAGAAACATACTAAATTACGCTGAATAAAAATATTTGCTAACCTTTTTTAATATAAGCATTCCAAGCTCGATCATTATCTGTGACTTGATAATTACAATGAGTTTCTTGAAGAAGTGAAAAAAAAAAGAAAATATTATTTTATTTTATTCGATATTCAATTGTTTTATTTACTTGTTATTTTGTCAAGAAATCCACTTTGTTTTTGTCCTTTTTCTTTAAGAATAATTTGTATATGAAGATGAGTTTTATTTGTTTGTGTATTCATCTCTTTTGCAACACAAGCATATCGTATTTTTTCAATACCAAATTGTTTTTTAATTTCCTTCATAACAATTTCTTCTACAACAAAAAAAAAAAATATAAGTAGTTTTTCTTCAATGCAAAATATTTACTTACTTGATGTATTTGTCCAACTAGTAATAGCAAATGATTTAGTAGATAATCGTTTTTTTGCAGCAGATTGCTCTTGTTCTTCTTCAGTATCATTATTGTGAGATGATAATGTATCATCATCGATATCAAGATTAATATTGCATTCTTCAACAATCGTTTTTGCATCTATGTGTATATAAACGAAAAGAAAAATAGATAGAATGAGAGATAAAAATATTGAATTTATTTTCATCATAACAATAACAACACGTACCAAGATGACCATAATCGGCATAGGGACGATCATGTTCGGCGACAATACCTGTTTGATTTAAAGGTATATATGGCTGTGTAGAAATGATCACTTTTGATAATGATGATGTTGTTTGGTGGTTATCAGTATTCATATCATCGACGTCTATCATCGATGATGTTGTTGTTGGATTATTGACTAAACCAATCATATAAAGAAGAGTATCAGCAACTTCATTATGATCAGCAGGACGTTCACGAATAATTAATTGAGTTAAACGTTCAATTTCATTTGTTGTTGTTGTTGAATTTGAAATATCATTGGAAACTTGTTTACTGCCATTATCATTATCTTCATTTGTTTTTTCTTCTTTTTTTATCATCGTTTTTTTTGTTCGTTCATCGGTATTTAATTTAATACGTTCAAATGTTTCTAAATTGAATAATGAACCTGCTTGAAATATTCGAGGTTGAGTATCGATAGGCGATGGAGTCATTTGAATATGATCAATATTATATCGATGAATATCCTCCTGATGAGTCGTATTTATTGTTGTTGTCTACATAGAAGAGGAGATAGTCTTGAATTACAAAAAAAAAATATAGAACAAATACTGACCACGTTTAAAGTTGTTGGACGAATTGGAGATTGTTTGTTTTGAGAAGCATTATTTAGCTCTTCTTTATTTTGATCATTAGATAAATTTTTGACAGTATTTGATTCAATATAACGATCTGCCATATTAATTTTTGAGAATGTTAATGTTTTCCTTGAAATTGTATTCGGATATCAATGGTAGAAATGCGACCGTTAAGTAATAGAAATAGTTGAAACTGTGAAAAATAAATATAATTGTATAAAAAAAAAAAAAGAAAAAAAAGTAATCATATAGACCGATCCAATGTTCGATGAAAAAAAAAAAAAAAAAAAAAAAAAAAAAAAAAAAAGAAAATAAAATACTGGAGTCTGAGAAACAGAATTTTCTGATTGAATTTGTATTATTTTGTTTAATCTAATAAAAGTGTATCTGAAGCTTGTTGCTATTGTATTAAATGAAGAAATCCATGGAATCTTTTTTAAAATACATATATGTATGTATTCATTATATGACAGACGTCATTCTAGCTACAACCCATCAGCGATGGCTTATTCGCTATGCACAAATAAATGTCATGGATTATTTACGGTCGAAAAGTAATGACTGACCAGACGCGATAGACAACCAACGAAATGCTGATACTAGCCTTTGACGAATATGGAAGAAAAAACAACGTATCAGTCTGACAATACTATCAGCTCGAATGTTGATATTATGTTTTATGTTTTCTTTGGATTTGTTTTACTAGAATATTTTTTTCTCAAATTGATAGGAAATAAATCAAAAATTGTTTTGGATGAAAGGTACAAAAAAAAGTTGTGAGGGAACTATAACTAAAACTTCTACATACCTGATGAAAAGCCTTGAGAATGGTTGCAGTAGTATTTGTTTGAAATTAATGAAGTAGAGAATGCGATGTTCGATGTGTTGTGTCGGTCGATAAAATGATAAAATTACATTCAGAGCACGGATATTTATAGCTCTAGAGAAATACATAGCAGGACATATGACGGCAACGAACTACGTCACTAGACAAGGACAGATGACCGTATTGTATCCAGAAGGAGATAAAAGTTACATATGAAACAACAAACTACGACAACAAAATACAAGCAACAACACAATATCATAATGAATGACAACATTCGGTGGTCAACGTAAACAGTCGATCATGAGGGACATATGTCTCTCATAAACGACAACAATCAGGCACCAAAGACAATAAACTATCGTGAATGACAACAATCTATCGTGATCGACCATCTAATAATCAGAAACGACATCAATCCATCGTACGCGACATTTTACTAACAGAATCGATAATGTGCTACCTGTTTCTTTATCGCCGATTTTTTTCTAACAAATATTCTTTCCTGAAGTGCTCTGTCCTACTTCGTTAAACGTGTTCGTAGTCAATTGTTCTGCAAGCAAAACGGCACAAAAAAAAATTAAAGTATTCTAACAAAAATAGAGGAAAAAAATCGCACTTCTTTGAAAAACAGTGCAAAACAATAAAGTTTCTGATATGGTAATGATTATATAAATGAAGAATCTCACTCACCGGTAATCATTCTCATCCGAGTTGAATTGTGTAATTAAGCAGTGTTTTCGAATCATTCTAATGTTTTTTTTTTCGATCTTAACTGTTTTCATGACAACACAATATGTAACAGAGTACTTGTACTGCAAGTTGAACTCTATAAAAAAACACACATTACTAAATGCTTTTTCTTCAAAAAAAAAAAAATGTGAAATATTGAAAAATTATTTTTTGCTTTCCCTCGAAGAAAAAAAAAGATAGCGGCAAAAGGAAAAAAAAATGCCACTTTTTCATACCGTGAATGGCAAGAAAATAATGAAAGATGGCCCTGCTACACGGAATGACGAACATTAATGAAACTTTGTCAAAAAAATCCAAGAAATGGTTGACTAAAAATAAGAGAAATTCATTGATGTTTTTTTATTATAAATTTTTAAATTGTGTTACGAAATAGTCTGAGCGAATCCACAGTGAACAAATGTCTGTTTGGTTCCATGTGACATTCGAAACAGAATAGTTTTCTAGTTTATGCAAACAAAAAGTGATTCACTAGAAATTAGCTGTTGAAAGATACGTTCTTGGAAAAAACACTTTGTTTATGTTGAAGAAAAGCTTTGCATAAACTCATATGCTTTAAAGTTATATATATATTTTTTTTTTTTTTTACTTAAAAAAAAACAATTTCTTTTTAAGCTCAAATTCTCTATCTTCAGAACGCAATGAGGAGAATTGCTGTAAACCTGTATTATTTCTTCTGTAACATTTTATTTCATCATATATTGGAAAGTTTTCTGTACAAAATTGTAACATAAATCTTTTTCTTTTTTTGTAGACTTTATTTTTTTTTTTTTTCTGGGAAAAATTTCTGAAAATTTCTGGATACATGTCGCGTAAGTTCATTGAGTATTTGTCTCTAATACTCGTGCAATTCTTAAGTTACATTTGGAATAAAGCCACATAGATGTATCTCTAAGAATTCTTTGCGGATTGCGGAAATCATCAGATTGCATGATATTGCCTCAAACAACCATATTAGGAAGAGAGTACATCTGAATTTACAAAAGGATGATTTTTTTTTTCATCTTCAAAATGGAATTATCTTAACACATGAATAATTATTATTGATCTGATTTTCTTCTTTCTCTCACTGTTCACATTTATGAAACACACAGTGGACAATTAAAATCCTTCAATTCTCCTAAGGTAATGTTCAATGAAAAAAAAATAAATAAAATAAAATTCAGCGAAGAAAAATTTATTGTATCACTAACAAAATCCTAATGAACTTAACGAACACGTGAGTGCAAGAAAAAATAACAAAAACAAAAAAACCAAAAAAATGAATGCGAACTATTCTGTTCATTTTGTTGTAGCAGTTGTCGTATTTGTTGTCGTTGTCGATTTTGTTGATGACGACGGCGAGCACCATGTCGTTGGACACCACGACGAGCTAATGATCACTGATAAAAATTAGCTTCGATTATAATGAAAACAACTTACTGAAAATTTTAGTACATTCCATTGACGACGAGCAACACGGGAGGGCAACAAATAAATAAATAGTGCAATTATCTTCGTATCATCACTATTTATAGTTAGATAAATTTCCGGAGAGAGATTTTCCAAAATATTTTTATTTTTTTTTTTTTTTTTTTGTTTTTTTTTTATTTGAAAATTATGCAGAAATTCACAACAATAATATTATTGTTAAAAAAATTGAAAAAAAAAAAAAGAAGTTCTAATAAGTATTTGCTTTAATTGATCATTAATCTGATTATCTAGCTATGCATGTGTTTGATTTACAGAATAAGATTTCATAGAACTTGAATTTGATACCAAGAGAAAGAAAGAACATTATCTTTCTAATAGTGCACAAGGAAAAAAAATTTTTGCTGTTTTTTCATTTGCTTGGTACGAGTACAATATTTAAAAAATATCATGCTTTAAGAGTAATTCAATTTGACTAAAAAACATGTAAAATTACACAAATAAATGTAATATATATAGTGAAAAATAGAAGAATGATGAATAGTCGCTGACGAGATCTGACCTCTTGCCATGTGACCGTCTGCTAACAAGCACGACACTATTTCGAAGTGATTCTCTCCCATTATACATATATATCCAGGGTATTTTAGACGAAAATGAATATATTTATATTAGTATTTTCGAATGGCTGCCGGCCATGGAAAATACGACTGTTTCCTTCCTTCGTTGTTCGTACCCTATATAAGTGCTGGGCAACAGCTAGTCCTACTTCATTTCATTTCACATTCACATTCAATCGAGTTAAGATCATGATTTCCACAACTTCATATGACTTTCATGAAAATGATGACACTTTTGGGAAACACTTAGATATAGCAACACAAGAATTGTTTGATCAACCATGTATGATAATAAAATGAAAGTTGTGTTTATGTTGATTTTTCCGCAAAAATATTTTTATGTTATAACGTTAATGAATTCTCCTCCTTTTCACAACAAATAACACAGAACGATTTCAATCAATTATGTGTTAATCCGAATAATGCCTATGTTTTTGCGAACGAATTCGGAATTACTTTAGTAAGTTGTCTATGTCGTACAAAGAATTTCGTTTGCGTCTTAAATAATTTTTTTTTTTTTTTTTTTTTTAAGCAAGGCTACGATAAAAATAATATACTTGTTGAATCAAACATAACGACATTGAATTCGTTTCATTCGAACAATGTTGAGAATTTGGTTCCAGAGCAATCAATTGTCAACGTTTACGAAAACGTTTCGTCTTCTACAACAATACAAAGTGATGGTTTAACTGAACTAAGTTCTGGTAAGATATTATTTATTTTGAAACTGAAAATATTCGTTTTTTTTTTATGCTAAATTATGATTTAGATCATCAGAATATGACTCGTAAATATCGATTTGATCTATCCGGCATCAAAACTTTGGAAAAAAAGGCTTTTTAATAAAGATCGCATGTCGAAACCAATGTAAGCAATTGCCTGTCGTACAAATACGACAACTGAGAAAAATTTCTGACTTCTTCTAATTAAATAAACAACGCTTGTAAACAATTTTTTTTTTGTTCTTATTGAATTGAATAGAAGAGCATATCATGCTTGAAATATGTCGAGAATTTCCGATGCCAATCATACAATATGTGTGTGTATCTAGCGATACTTCAATTTCACGATTTTCGATTGCAAATAGTTTTTCTGTGATATACATGCGAATATTATTGAAAAAAAAAGTAAACAAACCTGGTTGGTTTCTGGATAAAATCACGGATACGAAGAACGTAATAAAATAGTCTTATAGTAATTTCATACAATCTCTAGGTGATCTTTGTAATTATCATGTCACCGGCAAGGAGTTACGATATCATCAATTCATAAAAAAAGGTATTTGAAATAAAAAAAAAAAAAAAAATTAAATCGCTTGATACGAATATCCGCACTTTTTTTTTGCTCAAGATCGTTTGTACATCGAGATCGGTCATTTTCAATCGAAAAGACCTCGAGCTAATCGTCATGCATTGTCATTCAATGATATTCATTGTGAACAACAACAACAAAATCATTTGTTAATAAATGAGTAAAATTTTTTCTGAAATCTGAT